AAAAAAACTGTCCACTACTTGCAGCACAAACTAAAAAAGAAAGAGAGGTGATTTTATCACTCACTTGTTTCACCATCACAGAGTCGACCTGGTTCATCCGGAACTCCTTTAAACACTGAAGAGTGAAGAGGAATAAAATCAATCCCATTAAGTAGGAAAAATATGAAAAAATTAAGTAAGACATATATTCCTTTATTCAGCTCCTCTTTACTCTCCTCCATTTCTGAGAGAACTGCACTGGCTACCTCTTAGCTATATCTCAGTGACACCGTACTTGCTTTTAAAGTGCCACTATGATCAAAATTTCGCATTGCCTTTTCTTTTCACTTCTGGAAACTAGAAGTAAGAAACACTTACCATGCCAAGTTTAATCGCAAAATTCTCACGGGAAGTATGATTATTTCAACCTTGTTTTTCGTTTTTGGTCGCCCGCCATTACTCAATTCAAAAATGGCCGAGTGTGGCAAAAAGAGTTGGCACTAGTTGGAGCCTTTCGGAAGTGACGTCATATGCGCAGCTCGACCGAAAAAACGTGGCTAAATTTATATGCCATTTGGAAGAAGAATTCGAGGAAGAATACATCTTATAAAACACCTAGAATTTCCACTGTGGAATCTCTCACAACACACGAAGCACAATGCGAAAGTGCGCATATGACATCACAGGCCAACTCATGCGTAAAACCGCTTTTCAGTTCAGTCACTGGCTCTCGGTTGCGAGCTGAGTAATGGCGGACGGGTTTTTTGTGAATTTCGGCCAGCTATATCAAGGCGTATTTCGCTTCGATCAACCTAAAAACTATCACATAATACAATTCTAACCATATTAACTTGATTGACGCTAAAAAATGTCAAAACCAGAGACAAAACTTTTCATTGTAGTGGCAATTTAAATGTATGACAGGTTCCACTCCCACCTATCTCTCCTCAAAGTTTCTAACACATGGTGAGATAAGTGGTCACATGACCAGAAGCTCCCAACTTCTGCATAATTTATACCCTTATATCGAACTAAATCTGGACAAAGGACTTTCTTTTATCGTACAGTAAGTCTATGGAACAGTTTAGATAATACCCTCAAACTCTGTAATTCTTCTTGTGATTTTAAGCATAAACTTAGTGCCAAATTCCTTGCTGCTTTCCTTTGTCATCACTCTTAGTTGTAACTTTGGCAAACATTTATTAACATTTTAGCTTCCTTAATTTTTCTTTTATACATTTTAGTATTGTAATTTTGTAATTTTTAGTTCATTGTCACTGAAAAACCCTCTTTAGGGAGTGTCAATAAAGTTTGTATTGTATTGTATTGTATTCTGAGCAAGAATTACCACCCTTGGAAAGTGCTCAACATGAGCACTAAGGGAAAAAGGAGTAAATCATATTAAGAAGAATATTTAATTTATGGGAACTTAACTAAAGCAGTACTTTGGCACAAATGACCCTCAAAATCAACAGATTAAATTCGGAACTTAAAACCATGAGAAATAATACTTTCAACATGATAGCTTAAAATTTAAATTGTTTGTGTGAGTCTCATGCTCAATGTATGAGTCAAACTCAATGAGACTTGAGAGCTCTTGATGTAACTTATTATTACCTCAAGCAAACATACATGAAATAATGCTCTATCAATTACACACAAAAGATTACCACACATAATCCATAGTCTGCAAGTACTTACAATGGACGACAAGCTCAGAATCTCTGTTAAGCTCATATAATCTTATTGCCTCATCAAGTTCTTCTTGAGTTGAAATGGTGCATGGGTCACCTAACAGATAAAGAAACGTATGCAAGATATTAATTAAATTCTCAAAAGAGAGGGAAAAGAAAACTCCTGGATCTCTGACTAGGATTTGCACCTCAAACCCTCTCAGTTCACAATCCAATTGCTCTACCATTGAGCTTGTGAGCTACTGCAGACCATGTTATTGATTCCTTTGTGTCTGACAATGGTCCTGCATACTACTAAGATCAATTATAGATTGAAGCCGTGTGTGTGCAACTAGGCAAAGACAAAAGGGTAAAGTTAAGGCTTGATCTTCTAATGATGTAAACTGAAAGGGGCAGAGCATCAGACAGGAAAAGCTAAAGGTCTGAGCTTTGATTCCTATATCATCATCATGGTTTACTTTTCCAAGTATTTTCCCGAAAATAGTTACTTTAAGATTTTTTGGCAGAAATTGGTGGGAAAGGGGTGTTGAGGCACTCGTAAAGATCACAGAAGAAAATCAACCACAGGTGATCAATTGTGAGTCTTACATCAGATGCTGTTCAGCAAATTACAATTGAGAGTCAATTGCAATTTCTCTCTACAATGTTGTACTTCTTTAATCTCTGTAATTGGTCAAGAAAACTTTCAAATTTTTAACTAATCAGAAGTAAAACAAAACCCAATCACAACCTGGTTGCTCACAATTTTCCTCACCTCAGGTAGTTTGCTTGTTTTATGTTGCCATATCATTGGCATTTGAACAATTTCCCTTCTATATGATTGGCTGTTGTGATTCCTTGGGCAATTATTTTACACTCACACTCTAACACTCAAAAACTGGATTAAACAGCACTCCTTCAAATTTTACTATTTACTAAGAGGCTGATCACAAGAGAGCACTGACTGGTTGCCAATTTCACACATGTTGAGGGTGTAGTAGTAATATTCTAACATGAACAGGACAAAAGTCAGAAAGCCGACCAAACATGAATGATCCCAATATGTAAATTTCTTGTCGGGTGACTTAACTTATTCCCCTTCATAACACATGTATGTGTCTGGGAATTTTGATTATCAACATGGACCAAAGCTGATGGGATTGTCATAATTGATTCCTAATAACAAGACATTTCTCAGAGTGCAAATAAATCTAGTTCTTCTATAACCACTGAAGTCGAGGGATACATTTATGCAAGATAAATTTCTTATCTGGGTCTCTTAACTTTTTCTCCTTCATAACAAATGTACGTGTCTGGGAATTTTGATTATCAACATGGACCAAAGCTGACGGGATTGTCATAATTGATTCCTAGTGACAAGACATTTCTCAAAGTGCAAATAAATTTAATTCTTCTAAAAGCCAATGAGGTTGAAGGATATATTTATGCAAGATCGAGATGGATTACTTCCATGCGCGTCATCGATCAATGTTACTAGACATAAGAATGTTTTTTTTACTTTGAAAAATTTATCTTGGGCTACTTTATACGCTGAAAATTTGAATCACAGAATTCCAACGTGTTATTTTGTTTTCCAGTCATTCGTATTAGGTTCTCGAAAAAATAATTAAGTCTTAAGAATGTTACTCTAGACAATATGGACAGCAATGAAATTAAGGGATGGATAAAATGTTATTTACAAACAACTACAGACGAAATGGAGGAGCGAATTTTTCCAAATTGTTGAGCTTCTTAGAGCTCAGCACGTTTCAATATAAATGTTGTTACAACATCACTACAAGCCTTTTATGGCAAACTTAAAGTGATGTGATCAGTAGCGTATCAATATAAAATCCTATTTAGATCGTACCTAGGTAGCGTTTCGAAGGCACAGTCATTCACTAACCTTCTTCGTCGAGCCATTTCATCGTGAATTCATCTTCTTCGCCAAACCTGAATATGTCTCGCATTTCATCGCAGAATTTCTCCAGAGTTATTCGATTTTCCATGGACAAAACCATTATTGTCCTGATAATAATATAAATAATAAATTAACCTCCACGAAAATTGAAGTGAAATGTATGAATTTAGCGTCCACTAAATATGAAAATAAGCCGCATAAGAGTGCTACTCACCCATTATAAGCCGCTTTAACGGCGACCGCTTCGATTGAATTCATAGCTGGCATAGATCACGGTCGTCTAAATTGTTTAAGCCCTACAAATAAGCCCTCAAAGTAGAATGTCTTTGCGTTGATTCTTGAGTAAACTAGAGCTTTCTATGACTACATTTCCTACTACACATCTCCTTGGAATCTACATCGATCACGTGACATTCCAACCGGCGGAAGGTGCTTGGCGGTTTCGCGGTTACAAATCATGGTTACCAACACAACGTGGCTAGTGAATTTACACTTCTCATTTACAAAATAAAGTAAACAAAAGCAAAGCTCTTTTTCTTACCCGGCAAAATTTGAACGTAGATTGATAGGCAAATACAGCAAGCCTAATTCGCCTTGAAATCCTAACTCCTCATTTGCAACATTGAAATCCTGAGCAGAGGCCTCCAAGTTCCCCAACTCTTCATGCTCTTCCTTGCTTCCAGCCATCTCACGGTAGCTTGTCAATACACATGGATCAACTCCTTATGAACGAATAATAAGAGAGAAAATTGACCAAAAGTCGGATTGTGATAAACTATGAAATAGTACAATTTCACATTAGCGACAACATATCGTAGGCAAAAACACCTTCTCTTGACTTATTTTCTGTTAAGGGTACACTTGCCAACTCAAGCGTGCCAAGTCGTGTTTGATATTCATAGGGGGCTGCCTGCTTATCCAATTTGTCAGAGTTCAGATTTTAAATTGCGATACGCGCTTGGTTTCGAAAGGCTGGTTTATCGTATTGCAACCATAAAATAGTTTTGCAACACACATTTCTGGTAAAGAGGTTTGACACTTTCTTCTTGTTTATCACTTTCGTGAAGAGTAAAGCAGATGTAAAAAAAAATACAGCCGTGATTGCCAAGACAATCCTAGTTTTGTCAAATCCCGAGCTTGACAGGCTTTTAGAATTTATAAAAAATAAAACTGGTCTAATCGGAAATCGAAGACTCTTTTCCGCGAGCGGGTGTAGGCGCGCGAGCGCGAGTAAGGGGTGCGCGAGGACACACGTGGGTTTTTATGGCTGGCGTAGATCTACATCTCATGATAGATGTTCAGGCGTTCCTGCACTCTTGTTCAAAGCGCGAAAAAAATCCATTACTTTCCATGCAGAAAGTCACGTCTTATAATAATTATGTAGTGTTTGTTCCTATTGGATAGATACCTTAGCTCTTACATAATCTGGATTCTCTTGCATAGCACACCCTTAACCGCAGTCACGAGACAATCCATAGATCTATCATTGTATATTAAGTTCATGAGTATTCTAATAAAGCAGTTGTGTAGAGCACTTGGTCTGTGCACGTGTTACTCTATAGTAGTATACATCGAACCCTAACAGACAACCGTTCACCTCCACAATTCTCGTTTGTGACGTCATTTCCTTCATCATCAGACCCTTCCCACGTGTTGAGGACTGGATAGACATTCTTCCCTACTGATGTCATTCCAACAGGTAAACAATTCAAGCTGAGTTCTGTCATAGCGAAATTCCTGGTATCAAAAAGAGGAAGCGAAACGGAGACAAACAGCGTTCTTCTTGGGTGAGAAAAATGAAGATGGCATGCATGGTGATGAAAACGCACTCATCCTCCGCCGCTGGACTCGGCTCAATACGAAACAACTAGACTTTAGCGATAAAAAAACACTTTAAAGCAATTTAATATTCTAGCATCTAACAATTTGTCATTAAAGCTTTCAACCTTAAATAACATTATCTTGATTTAAGGAATTTTTCTGCTTTGATTCAAAGCCAGTCCAAATATTTCCTTTCAGTGCTCCCTCCTTTTTCGGCTCGAGAGCTTTTCGATGTACGATATTTTCTGTTATGCAAGAACTGAAAGTGTAACAACTGAGTCAAGCTCGCTAAAATCAGGAAAAGCACGCAGTTCTCTTGCTTAAGACTTAATGTTATTCTTGGCCAAGAATTAGAACAAAAACTAGCTCGAAACGCACACGACCCGCCGATGTCCCGCGCTTTAAAGGGATTAGCTCTTCTGCCGGCTTGTTTAATCTTTGCAAGTCAAGGAAGTAAGATACGTTCGTCGCTCTAAAGTTATAGTATACCGGATATAAAGTGTTACGTCTATAAGCTAGCAGAAATTATCTGTTGTATATTCGCGGCAGGTACGTGCGTATGTAGAAGTTTTGTCCTCAAAATTGCTATATTTTTTTTCATCGAAAATAAACTATTTTTAACTTACCTTTGAAATGTCTGAAATCGATTATTTTCCGTCCTCCTTCTTTCAGATACGATCTAAGGCTCCGCCTTATACTTTTCTGCTCAAGTGTCTTTGAGGGGCATTTTGCATAAATTTTGAATGATTTTACAATGTAAAACAACGTGACAATCACAAGTCAAAATAATCATTACGTCATCTCTCTAGAGTGTAATTTGACTTTTAAATTAATTTTCTATTTTTGATGCACGGTTTTATCTGTTTTGCATGAATTTTCGCTTTCTAAAGATTATGGCTTTTACAATCAATGCAAAAGAAAAACAATAACGCAAAAAAAGGACAAAAAAAATGTTCAAAAGAGTGAAGACTCCGTTTAAAAAAGTGACTTAAAAACAAATTGAAATATCCCGGAGAAAAATATTATATTTACTGTCACGTAAAATTATACATCTCGATCAATTCAATAAATTTCAATTTCACGATATACTGCGGAAGAAATTCTTGACATTTTAAACACTCTTCCTATTGGATCTAAGGTAAGAAGATCAATACAAAGGATATAAATCAAATCTACAGTACGTTTATTGAAAAGTAGGGAGTTACTAGTTACACTATTAACCGGTGCAAGACCTAACTGAAGAAAGACTGAATAACTGTCAGAGAACACGTGACCGTGTAAACCTAGAAACTTCCTCCTAGCTCGTCTCAAAAGATGTTGACGACTTCAATTCCTTTACTTCTACACAGGTGAAACCACAGTTTTTCTAATCAATTTTTCTGAGTTATCAAATGCGGCAGATCTTCGTGCCTCCTACGGAATGCTTTGCTTTCGAAACGTGCTTTAGACGAGACATTTAGGTCTCTATCTTTTTCTTGGTTTCTATAATCATTGTTGCGCATAGCATTTCCCTAAGTACGTCGCAGTGATGTAATTGCGGATCGAGTTGCGCAGCATTCATATGGTCAGTTTATCACAAATGTAATCAGTTAAGGCTCTTCTGCTCCCTGTGCACCAGTAGTTGGCATAGTAAGTCGTTATGCCAGATTCTTCATGTCGCCGATTAAGATACATTTCGCCTTTCCAAATCTACTCCAAAAGATCTTATCACACCTGGGTAGCTTTACCCGGAGAGGGGTACTTCCTATAGTGATAGGCCAATGTAGATGTGCCGTTTGATGGGATCGCATTTTCACGACTGGACTGACTATAATGGGGTTGTGTTTTCGATAGATTCACATAAGAGAATAAAATCTCGCATTCTGATTGGTTAATGAAGCGAGGTATTTAGCGTGGAATTGCGAGTTGAAAACGAGGTTGAGTGATATTGTTTTGCATCTACATATACATGGCAACTATCGTCCAATTGTAACACCACGACTGCGAGAAAATTTTTTGACAATGTCATTTTAAAATGTTTTCAAAGTCATTGTCACCATTCGAAGAGCCAAAAACAAACAAAAGCGTTTTTCAAAGTGAGCCGGAGGTTCTTGTCGACTTTGAAATGGCTTTCTGGAGCGCACCGCCAAACAATGTTTTTGCTGTTTTCTTTTTTTCTGATTTTTATTTACTTTTGCGATTCAAGGAAAATCCATTACCTTACTCGATTCGTGTGATATCGGTGTTCAAGTGCAATTTAAGGCGGAATTCCCTAGTCAAGTAATAAATTTCCTATAGAGTTACGAAGACGGAGTCGCACATTTTTGGGATAGTGGGGATAAGGAAATTGTGGTAAGTAGGAATTTAAAAATATGAAGATTTGCGGTTCAAATATTGTTACTGTTTTACCAAGAGTGACTAATGAGGTAGGGGCTCTCTAAAAGCAAGAGGTACATACCCCAGACCAAATATAGGTTTTCGCGGCCAATTTAAGGCGGAATTCCCTGTCAAGTAATAAATTTCCTATAAAGTTATGAAGATGGGGTTGCGCATTTTTGGGATTGTGGGGATAAGAAAAGTGTGGTAATTAGGAATTTAAAAATAAGAAGATTTTCTGTTCAAAAGTTGTTACTGTTTTACCAAGGGTGACTAAATGAGGTCTATAATTGGCCACAGAATAGACGACAATGGGGTAGGGGCTCTAAAAAAGCCAGCGGAACATACCACAGCCCAAATACCCACTCTCTCCCTTCCGAAGCTTTATCTCCCTATCAAGGAAAAGTAACATCAGAAATACCCGTTACTGTGGGATTGACACTCAAGACCTAATAAGATCATACCAATGTGCGTTTGAAGAATCTCTTGACATGTGTAAGAAGTCTCAATAGGAAAGAAAGCCCGCTGATAAGGAACCTTACAGTAACAAGCCAGAATAACTCTTTGAAAACGTACTATAACTATGGAAAGGAGAGGTAGTTTTGAAGTCTGTTTCAAATACAGCAGACTGATGGACTCTTTTAATTGCGGTCACCTGAAATCAAATAGGTAATTTCCATTGGGTATATGAGGAAAGGCTACACAGGAGATATCAGTGACATGTGGGAATCTTTATTTGTAGGTCTCGTCAAATAGGATGACGAATGATCCTTTGTGTACTATACCAAGGCCTACGGAGTGAATGTTCTGCAAGACATTTTTCGCGGAAAAAAACTCCACATAACTCTAGCATGCCATCAAATGATAAAGGAGACGAAATTATGGCAACGACGACGACTTTGTAATTTATATCAGGCAGTAAAAGAAGTCTCTTGCGCCGTAGAGAATGTGTATACTAATGGGTTAATTTTTACAACTTTTCCGATAATTTATGCAAGTACATAGCTTAGTAAGGTGGAATGTCCAGTTTGTATGCAGAATAGTTGTACAGATTTTTTATTTCCTGGTCGATATCCTTTGTCTCGTATGATGGAGTACCTCCGTCCGCTTGAAGCTTCACTGGTGTCGAAGTCCCATAATACACGTTGTCTCTGTACACGTGATGTTGAGACGGATCGCCATTGGTCAGCCAAATGCATGTGTACTGAGTAGGGTGACTAAAACCAACGATCTCAAATACGTTAGCAGAGTACTTGATATTCTCATCCTTTCCAACTGAGTGGGGCTCATAGTAGCTTAAACTGCTTTCTCGTCTGCCTGGTCTTGTTCGCTGTACGAGGTGATTTCCGTAGATGACTACATTCTTGAGACCATTGTGAAGACAGGCCTTGCGTTTTCTGTTTTTATGCGAATACAACAGAATTCCTGTGTCGTCGACGTAATTACGGGCAAGCCAAAGGTTTTTCCCATTTCGCGCTTTGATCCCACCTGATGGATTCGCAGGCCAACCTCTAACGTAGTTGCTTTTCACTTCCAGGTTGTCAAAGCCTTTAAGGTACATGGCGTGGTCTCTGTGTCGGCCGGTATTGGGACTTCCGTTGAATATATTTTCCGCTATTTTCATTCTTTTGTCGCACTGGTCATAAAGACAACTTTTAAAGTAGCCTTGATCAGATTTAAGGTTGTAATGAGTCTTAAGGAACTCTAATTTCTTTTTTTGATCTCGCCAATGGGATACTGGCTCAACTTTGGAAGACAACCAGTCTAATTTACTTAACTCCAGGCCACATACTTTGCCAATTACCCAAACGTTGAGAGTACTTCTAAATCTGGAAGCAACTCCATATGCACCCGAATCGCGTAAAAAGACGTTTTTGTAAACACCACTGTTTCCAAGCTCCATCATTACCAATTGTCGATTCTGTCCGTTACTTGAAGTTGGACTTGCCGATGAAAAGAATACACAGCTCTCTATTGTAATATCACGTGTAGATGATGACCCTTTGATTTGATCCTCAAATACTACACGAATTCCGTCAAAATACAGATACTGCAGTGAAACACTGCTTACAGGTGAAGCATTGTGTATTTTTATGGCATATGGAGTCGACGCCTTGATAACAGCAATACCACTCTGGGTTCCATGCAGTTCCACTGAGCCACTTATAGCAATATCACCGCCGACCAAATACTCACCACGAGGAAAGAAAACCTTGTTGTTTGTGGAACCTTCTACGTGTTTAACGATGGCCTTGATGGCAGATGTGTCGTCCGTTTTTCCATCTCCAACCGCAGCAGTTAAGGAACCTCCAGGTTGCTTCACGTTGGTCATTCCAGCAGGTACGTCATCTGACCCTGTCAGATAGTTTGGAGCTAGGAGCACAAGGAGAAGGGAACGTGTTAACAAAGGGTCTTTCTAGTTTAAAAAACTCCCCCTACAGTTGCCACGTGACTGGATCTTGTCAGCGATTGAAAGTCAATACCTGCGATGGAGTTACTCCAACACAGCGGTGGAACGGCAGGCATGCCATGGGAGATCAATTTTGGCCAGCCACGCGCCCAGCATAAAATTTTACCGGAAAATATGAGAGACATCCGCTGTCACACGTAATTAGCAATAATGAATTCAATCGATCGGATGGATCCTCAAAGGGGAAATAAAAGTTGAAAGATGTAAAACTTGTGACTTTTCGAGCACAAAGATTATCTAATTACGCCGGGTATCCTTCATTTTCATTTACCAAGCGTGCTTGCGAAAACACTATTTTAATCAGTATGTAACGAGTAATTTGGAAGATTTAAACCTATTCCTTCCTGAATAAAGTGATTTATTCACCTCTCTCCGGGTCATATTTTTTCGTTCGCGAATCTTCATCTCAGTTTTGCCGAATAGACACCGACCTTTCTACAACCAGTCAGTTTGACGATGTTCGTATTGTTCTCGTATGTTTGGTGACCTAGAGGAAATTAAGTCCCTTTGTAAGCTTACTTGATTGCTTTTTTACTACGCTTGGCCGCGCTCCATCGTGATGAAGAGGCGTCTTCTGTTCTAAGTTGTATTTTCCAGAATGCTTTCTGGCGGCGCTTCTACCCATCCTCCGGTGAAAAGAAATAAAGATCGCGTCAGGATCAGTTGGATTTTTGTTTATGTTTTATAATACTACTTCTCTTAACGCTTACCTAAGAGCCAGTATGATGCTTACGAACAGAACTACGTCTCTAATCATGTTAAAATGCTTATTAGGAAACACGTTTCAAAAAATCGCCGAATCCAATGAGGACGAGTCCCCTTTTGAAACGAGTGTCAGAAAAAAACTTTATGATACCAGCCACTGAAATATAGATGATCTAAATAACTAG